AATGAAATCAATATTTCTGTGAGACATTTGCCCTTCGTGGGAAGAATTTAAGTGTCCATCTACTGATGAATGGTTAAAGAACAAGATAGGTGTATGAATGAATACTATCTCGCCATACAAAAGAATGAAATTCTGTCAAGTTAATTGTGGTAATATGAATGAAATTGGAGATTATCATGTTAAGAGAAATAACCCTTCCCAGAAAGACAAGTACTGCATGATCACCATCATCAGAAATTCAGAGTGAAATGGCTGTTACTAGAGGCTGGAGAAAGTAGGAGGAAGCAATGCAGAAAAGTTGTTCAATGGATAATAAGTTATAGATAGGAGCAATAAATTCTTGTGTGCTTGCACAGTAGGGTAAATATAGATAATAATAATGTAATGTACATCTCAAAGAGCTAGAAGAAAGATTTTGGTAGCTTTCACCATAAAGTAATGATATAAGTTCTAAAGGATAGATGAGCTTAACCTAATTTAAACATAGAGAGAGAGAGAGAGAGAGACAGAGAGAGAGACAGAGAGAGAGAGACAGAGAGAGAGATTCTATGTGGTAGTATCTCATTAATATGTACAATTTTATATTTTATATTTAAATAAAAATAAAATTCTAAGAGTGCTATTATGGACATAAATTTAATGCTGTTTGGTAAAGGAATACATACTCTTTTGTTGTGAGCATGTCTAAAATGAAATTGCTAAGGTATACGTGTGTTTACATATAGAGCATATATATATGCTTATTTTAAAAATATTTTGCCATACAATGTTTCAAATTATTGGTACCAGTTCTAGTTGTAGTACATCCTTCAAAATACTTGGTATTTTTGTTTTTATTATTTTAGACACTTGGGGGAGTGTGTAGTGACATATCATTTTGGCTATAATTTGTATTTCTAGGCAAAGTAATAAAATTTATTGGCTATTTCAAGATTCTATTTTGTGAAATGGTATTTTATGGTCTCTGTATTTTAGTATTGGATTTTATTTCATTTTATTATTTATTTGTAATAATTCTCCATTGTTTGTGGTACTGAGGATTGAACGCAGGGCTTTGCACACACTAAGCAAGCACTCTGCCACTAAGCCACATCCCCAAGCCCTCACTGTTGAATATTTTACATATTACAGATATGAAACTTTTCTGATAAATGTGTTGCAAATATCTTCTCTCAGTTTTTTGCTGGGTTTCTTACTCTTTTAGAGGTATCACTTTATGGACAGTTATTTTCAAATATTAATAAAGCACAACATATGTTTCCTTCATCCTTTGTGTTTTTTGAATCCCCATTAAGAACAGTACTTTCTCCAAAGTTCTGAAAATGATCTGCTTTGTTTTGTAAATTAAAATTATAAAATTGCATTTCCACCTTTCCTATTTAGACATGTAATGTAGTGTGTATGTGTGTGTGTGTGTGTGTGTGTGTGTGTGTATTTAAGGTGAAGTCAATATGTACATCTTTTTCCAAAGATCCAAATGGCCTTATACAACTTTTTGCAAAGAAATATCATTTCCCCACTTCATCATATGTGATTTTTTTTGTTATCATATGTGATTTTTCTCATATTTCAAGTGACAACATGTAGGCATATTTCACAGGTCTATAAGTTATACATACATACACACACTTTAATCTTTGAGACAGTACCATGGTATATCACACTTAATATTGTAATTCTTTTTTGTTTTTTTGAGACAATATCTCGCTATATAGTTCAGACTGGCCTGGAACTCACTATGTAGCCTAGGCTGCTCTCAAAATCACAGTGATACTCCTGCCTCAGCCTCCTGAGTGCTAGGATTACAGGCATGCCCCACCACGCCTGGCACTTAATACTATAATTCTAATAATTACAATATATTAACTATATTTAATGCTATAGCATCATACCAAGTTTTGATATCTAGTAGTGAACATCTTAGAGTTCTTTATCTTCAAGATTGTCTTGAATATATTTGGTTCTCTATATTTTTATATATATATTTGAAATATATTCAACAAAATGTAACTTGTTGAAAAATTTTATATGAATTATACTGAATTTATTGACTATAACTGAAGCATTTAAAATGTTGAGAGTTTTAACTTATGGTCATGGTATATCCCTACACTCATTTAGTTCTGTAATGATTCTCAAAACTGTTTTATAATTTTTAGTAGGAGGCTTATAAGTATTTAGATTTATTTTAAAACTTTTTTATTTTTAATCAACTTGATTGCTCTATTATTTATATACAATCAGATGCACACATTTCATTTTTTAATTTTAATTTTTGTGGAGTTGGGAGTAAGACCAGGACCACAAGCATGCAAAGGAAGTGCTCTTCCTCTGAGCTACGTCACCAGGCCAAGATAGATAGATATTAACTATATAGTTCAGTGATTTTAATAAATATATTTGCCAGTGAAATCACTACCACATCGAGATATAGAACATCATTTCATCTAAATAAGTTCCATTATTCCCCTTTATAGTGAGGAAAACCCTTACATTTAAGCAAGGCAAAAACTCATGTGATCCAATTTATGTTAATATAGATTTATTTTGCTTGTTATAGAAGTGATATGAATACAGTCATGAAAAATAAGCTCTTGTATCTCATATTTTTCTCAAAGGATTTTTAAAATATTCATCAATAGTAGTGCTTTTGCTAGTAGTTTTTTCCTTTTATTTGCCAAAATAGTGTTCAAATGTATGAAGACCTTAAAGTTTGTTTTACTATTTGCTTGTTAATAGCTATTTGGTCTTTATCCACTTAGAAGCTATTATAAAAGAAATTGCCATGAATGTCCCTGTACAAATATTTCCGAGGAAATGTATTTTGATTTCTGTTGGAAACAATCCAGAGTGGAATTCCTAAAAAATATGTTAAGTTTAAGATTTCAAACTACCAAAAAGTCTTTCAAAATAATTGAACTTGTTACCAGCAATGAACAACAGTTCTAGTTGTTTCATAGTCTCAAAAGTGCATGAGAATGTCAGCCTTTAAATTTTCAAAATTGTAATAAGCTCACTGGTAATTTGTACTTTTAGTCTTTTTTATCATTTTGATTTTCTGATCATTTTAATTTAATTTCTTTCTTATTTTGAGTTTTAGGATTTCTTTATATGTGTTCTAAATAAAAACCCTTCATCAGATAAATATATTTTGAATATTTTCTTTTAATTTCTTTTTTTTTTAAGATGATGTTTCACTGTGGTGTCCAGGCTGGCCTTGAAGTTTCGGGGTTAAATGCTCCTGCTGCCTCCACAGTGTTTCTGGGACTATTGGAGCGCACCAGTGCATCTGAATTTCTACTTCATTTCCTTAGCTATGTTTTTATTTTTAGTGTAGAATTTTTATTTTTGATAAGTCCAGTTTATCTGTGGTGTGTGTGTGTGTGTGTGAGAGAGAGAGAGAGAGAGAGAGAGAGAGAGAGAGAGAGAGAGACCTTTCCTTCTGTTTCCTATTCAAGGAATCTTTATGTTCTCTAAGAGCATAGAGTCTTTCTTTATGTCTTATTCTACATAAAGGTTTTACAGTTTAATCTTTTAAATTCTATGATTCACTTTGAAATACTGTATGGTAAAGTGAAAATGTAAGATACATTTTTTTGTAACAGGGATCAAACTCAGGACCTTATGTTTGCAAGGCACCACTGAGCTAAATTTCCACCCTGATAAGATACTTTTATTTCTTAAAGAAGCACCATTCATTTCAGCATCACTCCTTAAAAAACTATACTTTCCCTATTGTTTGACTTTGAAATCTTTGTCAAAAAGAATTAACCACACACACACACACACACACACACACACACACGTGTATATATATTTCTGAGCTGTATTGTATTCCACTGATATATGAGTCTATGTTTACTCTGCTAAGACACAACCTTTATTATGATATTTTAAGCCTTGAAATCATGCACAGTACTGTAGATCTCTAGATTTGTGAGACTGTTTTTAAAATTTATTTTATCTTTTCTAGATCCTCTGCTTTCCCATGTAAACCTGGAGGTAAGTTTGCCAATTTATAAAAGAAAAAAACATCTTCTGGGATTTGATTGTTATTACGCTGATTTTATAGATTAATTCTGAGAATCAGATGTCAGAAAAAGAGTACTATCATCATACATGTTTACATTTATTTTGGTCTGTAGTTTCTTTCAGCAATGTTTGACAGTTCGCAGTGTACAGGCTTTTTATATGTTTTTAAAATTTTTTTCTAAATATTGCACATTTCTGTAGCTACTATAAGTGATATTTTTACATTTCAATTTGATTGTTCATTACTAGCATAACAAAATACAATTGGGTTTTGTATATTTATCATGTAATTGCAACCTTCTTATATTCATTTCATAGTCATGTACTATGTTTATTTCAGATTCCTTAGGACTTTCTAAATAATGATCATTTAATCTGCAAATGCAGCCATATTTATTATCATTTGGATCACACGTTTGTGAAGGGTATTATTTCTTTCATTCTGCAAGTCTGTTTCACTATATGTTCATTGACTCACCTCATGGAAAGGCCTCACATGTCTAGGGGCCCCTCACGAGAGGAGCCATCAGCTGCCCTGTCCTTTTCCAAGTTCTAAAGAGCAGCTGACCATAGAGTCTATATTTATATAATGACTTAACGTATGAGACAGATGGTTGGGTTTTCTTTCCCAAATTCAATCCTGCTTTTTAAAATAAAATAATTGTTTTATTTTATAAATATATATATATATATATGAATATATATGAATATATTAACTATGAAAGGAATAATACAGTAAAGCATTAAGAGTGAGAAGAATCCATTTCCTCAGGCTTTTTTTCTGACACACTTCTTCCCTACATTTTAATGGAGAGGAAATGGAGAGTTGAGAGTACAGCAGAGGAAAGGTGTATCCCAGGAGCGGAGGAGCAGGACTGGGAATTCCCCCTAGAGAAATGGGCATGGCCAGTGGCCCCTGAGAAGACACTGCTCTTCCCTGGCAGCCAGATAAAGGCCCAGGGGAACACAAAGAAGGCAGTGACAGGGCCTAGGCTGGTGCTATTAAAAGGGTCTTGGGGTGAGCGAGGGGCGGGGCTGTCTAGCCCCGCCCCTCTCTGGACAGCTGTAGGGGGTTGGGAACTCAGGCGGAGCCGGGGACAGTGACTGAAGCCTCACGTGACTGGCCAACTCAGACTCTTGCGCCGGGGTCCACCACCAGACTTGGTCGTCGCTTACAGCCTCTAGGCCTAAGAGGCCCTATCTGCTCCCGGTGGCCCTCAGGGCGTGCAGGCTAGGAGCAGCCTGAAACAGCACGACGCAGAGAAGGAACGGGTAAGGGACTGGGGGGTGGCGCGGTCCCTGGGGTCGGGATGGGAGAGAAACTCGGCCTTGGTGACCACATCCCTAACGGTCTGGCTGCCTCAGAGCAGAGGCGCAGCGGGTGGGCAGTGCAGCCCGCGGCACAGAAGGTGTACGGTCCTGCGTATTTGGTGGGGCTGCCAGGGTCCAGAGGAGAGGCAGTGCGACATTTTCCCATGCCCCGCCGCCCAACCCCCGCCCCTGTCCTTCACAGTGCAGAAAATGGTGGTCTGAGCCGGGCGCGAGGTGAGGTGCGGAGCAGTGGAAGTGGGGTGGAGACGATGGGATATCGGATCGCGAGCGCGATGGGGAACTGGTCAGCGGTCGGGGATTGGAAGCAGCTCGAGGCACTGAGCTGCTGCTTCACCGAGGCTTTCTGCTAGTCTGAGGGGCTCAGGGCCATGGCGGCTCTCCTGGGAGCAGGAATCCGGCAGGGGAGGGAGAGGAGAAGGAAAAAGGAAAGGAGGAGTCAAGGGTAGGCCCGGGTCTGTGCTGGGCCGGGGCGGGGCGGGGCTGGGGGGACGTGTGGAAAGCCCTCATTCTGAGACTCTGACTCAAACACCCGTTTCCTTCCTTTCCTTCCCTTCCATTTTTCACCTCCTCGTCCTCCATTTTGGTGCCTGCAGAGGCCAGGAGATAGATCTACAGGAAACATGTTGGGCTTCGGGGAAGGGAGGAGCACGGACTGGGGGCCTCTCAGCTTGGAAAATGGTCTTGACAAAAGGCCCTTGACGTCCAGGCCTTTGAATTTTCAAGGTGTGTACTTGGGCCTCTGTCCTCGGTGCTGATCAGTCCACCAAGAATTCATTCTCTTTCTGTCTCTTGTCTCCTAGGAGTAATGGAATCCAAACAGGAACAAGTGATAAAAAATCTCAACGAGGAAAACGCCCAGCAGGAAAAGGAAGAAAAAGATGAAAAAGAGCTACAAGCTAATAACAGGGAGCTCTTGGCCCTGCCTTTGGAAGCTGGTGACTACAATGTGCCTAGAGGAAATCGCAGGCAGTTCCGAGTTAGGCAGCCCATCCTGCGCTATAGATGGGACCTGATGCATAGGCTTGGAGAGCCACGGGCAAGGATGAGAGAAGAGAATATGGAAAGGTTTGGGGAGGAGGTGAGACAACTCATGGAAAAGCTGAGAGAAAGGCAGTTGAGTCATAGCTTGAGAGCAGTTAGTAATGACCCCCCTCACCATGACCATCACAATGACTTTTGCCTTATGCCCTGAATCTTGATGTTTTCCCTGAAGTTAATAGAGAAACACTTGCTTCCTAAACTTACATGTTTGTGATGTACTGTTGTGAGCCTTTTGATGTCACTGGTTTGCATGTGTCTTCTATTACCAGCTTCTAATGGAACGTTGTATTTTTGACCCAGCTTGTATGACTTTTGTTAGCAGAACATACCTATTGCATGGAAAGATGCTCATTATATATTGTGAAGTTAATAAAGCAGTTTGAAAAAAGTATTCTTTGTATTCTTTTATACTTAAAATTTATAGACACACTTCTTTATTATTTTAAATTTTATTTTAATATTGCTTTATCACTTTATTATTTTTATTATTATTTTCTTTTTATGTATATTTTTCTATACTTAACAGATACTGAATAAAATAATTTGATCATTGATAAAAGCAATATGAGGGCCAGGGATTTGCTCATTGGTTCCGCCGCCTGCCTCATAAGCGCAAGGACCGAGTTTGATCCCCGGTACCAAAAAAAAAAAAAAAGGCAATATGAGTACTTACTAAACACTTGTGACAGAAAATCAAATTTGGCCTACCCCTGGAATCTGTTATTTGGAAATATAAGGCAATATGAACTTACTAAACACTTGTGACAGAAAATCAAATTTGGCCTACCCCTGGAATCTGTTATTTGGAAATATAAGAAAACATTTTTAAAATATCGTTTTACTTGTCAGTACATTGTAGATAGTCACCTCTTATGGGTGCTGTGTGGACCATATGATGTAGTAATTTTGTATGCTTTCTCCAAGTTTTCATTCGTACTGACATTCATAACTGCATAGGTATTCCTTTCAGTTATTAGGGGATATTTCCAAAGTGATGCCTTCTCTGTGCTCATATTCAGTGAGCTAAGAGTTAGGCACTTCTCTTCCTCTGCTGCTGTGCTCCATTTCTATATTCTCCTCTGGGTATTACTCTTTGTACTAGATCTTTCATCCTATACTGGATCCCTATCACCACAGATGTCCATGAATTTTCAAGGTGAGAAATTCCTACTGATTTTTCTAGAACTCCCAATGGATTTAATCTGCTTTACAAAAGTACAGACATATCCTGCCGGTTCAGCTTCCTGGAAATAGTTTGTCTATCTAGTTCTTTACTTAGGGGTAGGTCTTTCCCAGCAAATCTGTTCATGAGTTCATCATTCTGTACAACATCAACTCAGGGAACAACTCCCTTTTAATCTGGGACAGTCCTACATCATGGCCCATGTCCACCTGAAACTTATGAATGTCCAATTTTTGTTTTATATTAAGATGGACACCAAGAGATTATGTGAGTGAATCGGGGACTATTTAAATGTGGGCATCTTTATTAAAAACTCATGTGAATAGTGCTAGAGTTAAGTGTCACATTAGAACTCGGGAAACAAAGTCTCTCTGAGTGTGTTAATCAGGTGAAAATGAAAACATTTTACATATGAAAACAGCCTTTGATGGAAGTAAGTTTACAATTCCAAAATAAGAATTAGTAAACTTTCCAAACTAACCTGTTGCCTAATTTGAGGGCCTATAACTGTCTTTTATAATTTTTAAAGTTGAAAAATGTAAGGACTATTTGGTAATGCAAAAAATATATGAAATTTAAATTTCAATTCCATAAATAAAATTTTACCAGATCATAGGCATGTTTATTCACTAGCATATTGTATATGGCAGTTTTTGCATTACAGTCAGAATTAAGTACCTGTGAAAGAGACTGTATAGCTCCCTGCAAAGACAATCATCTTGTTCTATTAAATACTTTGTTACCCTATCCCTTTGAATATAACATCACAGGAGCTGTAGTGAGGTAGTGCAGGCCCGTAATCCCAGTACTCTGAGAGGATAAGACAGAAGGATCACAACAAATTCAGCCCAGTCTGGGCAATTTAAAGATTTAGGAAGACCCTGCCTCAAAATTAAAAGGGGGGTGGGGCTGGGGATGTAGCTATGTAGCTCAGTACAAACACCCTGGGTTCACTCACCAGTGGTGTAAAAAATACATGTAAAATCACAATAGCACTTAAGAAACCAAGGGGGAAAGGTGGCAGATGAAAACGTAATACAGCAACTCCCAAACATCATGAATTACATACCTGAGTAATTTCAAATCCCTCCCTTCTCTTGCAAGCACTTGAGACAGACACAAGGCATATTCACGCAAGACAGAAGTTTATAGGGAAGCTAGAACTGAAAGGTCAGGAAAACTGATAAACAGTTTTATGCCCTACCAGACTTTTTTGCTCCTGAGTGCCAGTGTTAGCACCAGGTTCAGTGGAAAACAGAACTGTTCTGCCTGTATTGGCAAAAAGGTATACAGCAATTCCTTCATGAGGAGAAAGGAAGCTCACACATCAAATTACAACTTAACTATGATACACAATTAGATATATAGAATATCATTTATATATATAATAAATGATACATAACATATATTATATATTCATACACATCTTTTGTGTTCAGGCAGATCCAGGTTGCCTGACAACCTCTCAAAGAAGGATAGGTTTAACATTCTAGTTTCTGGAGACACTGCTAAGAAGTTTTTCTTCGCTTTTAACACTCTGGGTCTGAAGGAACAGTCACATGAGTAATCAGGATCTATTAAAAACACTTAGGCAACAACAAACCAGCAGAAAATGAGTAAAAGACCGTAAGGGAACAAGGCCTAAGTTTCCCCCAATGGGAGCAGCAAATTTTTACGGATCTGGGTCTATTTATCTGTATATCATTTCTATATGTTATGTGACAAGCTTCCTTTTCTCCTTTATTTTGTGCTTTTTTATTTTAATATAGTACAAGTAGATATTAATAAAGAAAATATAAAAGCCATTCTATGAAATCCATAGCAAAAATGATTAGAGAAGTGTGGACATGCCGTGCAAAAGAGGTAGACATATTGTTTGTATAAAAGCCCCAAATTGGGGCAAATAGCAGGCAGTGAGATTAGAGGTTTGTCCTACTTCACAAAGAAAAGGATGTTCAAAAAATGTGACGTATAGATATGAATTGGGCTATGGAGGTAAATCTCATCACGTACCTTCAGTACAGTGCTGCAGTAAATACTTGTGGAATAAATAAAAAAACAAATAAGAGAAATATACATTTAGTGCTGTTCAACAAAGGATGACTAGCAGACATTTTTGGATCCTTACACTTTTTAATAATCTAACAAAATGGAGATAACACAGAAAGTATCTCATGATGTCTTATTAAAAGAATTAGTTTCCCTTAAAATATTCAGGTCATTGAAGAAAATTTAGAAAATAAATATAAGGGTCATTTTATGATTAAAGAAAATGCTTGTTTGAACATTCTAGCTCAGAACAAGAAGGGAATAGCCACAGCATGGGAAGTGCATTGTGCCTAAAATCACAGATCTCTGAGAGACTGAGGCAAGAGGTCCATATGTTGAGCCCACCCCGGGCAACATAGCATGACCCTGCTTCAAACTATGGAAATCAAAAATAGGCTGGGGATGTGGCTCAGTGGGAAGGCCTTTGGTTCAATTTCTAATTTAAAAAAGTGAAATAAAGCATCTGTAATTAACCATCATTTAAATATTAATCCACATTTATACTTCCAGTGAAAATGAAGTAACAGGGACTTTATTTACCATCATAATTGAAACATCTAAAACCTGGACAAAATATATGAAACAATAATTTCAGTTATTGAACATCAGACTGTAAAGAGCAATGTTATCCAAGGGAAGAAAGCAAGTAACATGGACAGTATGATTGCTCACAACTTACAGTTTTTTGCATGATTATAACATGCAGTAAAAAAATGAAGGTCAATAATAGCAGAAAAGCCAGAAGAAAAGAAAAGGAAAGTACATATTTTAAGGTTCTTATTCTATACATTAATATAATTCAAGTTAAGCCTGATATGTTAAAGATGCTATAAGCCCTAAAACAACCATGAAAAAAGGTAAAGCTAATGTGACAATATATGAGGTAAAATAGAATCTCCAAAATACTCAATCTAAGAAAAGCATTGGGGGGAGAAAAAGAGAACAAAAAAACATTCTAAGCAAGTTCTCCATCACTGAGCTATATTTTGAGCTCTACATAAAAATTCTTTACAAAAGTTTATTAAAAACAAATCCAATAATACATGAGAGATGCAATACACCAGGTTATGGGCTGGGATGTGATTCAACAGTAAAGCACTTGCAGAGTATGCACAAGGCCCTGGGTTCAATTCCCTGCACCACCAAAAAGTTCCAGAAGAAAAGAAAGGACCAAAAGAATATTTGAAGAAACGATGACTGAAAGCTTCTCAAATTTGATAGAATTCATGAATCTACACACCGTAGAAAATTAGTGAAATTCGATGATAGTAAATACAAATAGACACACATTTGCACATTATAATCAAACTATTAGAAGCTGAGGACACAGCATTTGTTGAGGCAATCCCCTTCTACTCCTAGTCTGTGTTGAGCTTTTTTCCCTTTATTCTGTGAATGTGTTCCAATGTTTAATCTTTTTACATCTTGAATAAGTCTTATAACCAGGAATAAAGCCTACATGGTAATGATATATACTCCTTTTCACATGCAGCTTGATTTGCTTTACCAGTATTCTGACTATGATTGTATCAACATTCACATTAGGCTGCCATAACCAATACCATAATTTGAGGGGTTCTAAAGAACAAAAATATATTTTCTCATAGTTCTGGAGAAATACAAAATGAACTTGCAAACAGAGTTGTTGTCTGGTGAGTGTTCTCTCAGGTCATAGACGGCTGCTTTCTTTCTGTGTGCTCATATGACTTCTTTGGTATACACTGAGACCAGTGGAGATAGAGAAATAGGTAAAGATACTTTGATATATTATCTGTCAATGGACATACCTAAGACAGTGCCCTATGAGGAACAAAAGAACAGGCTTCACATAGCAGGGAGGGGAAAATAGTCATTATTAAAGTAATCCAGCCAAAATCTAAACAAGCAAACATGTAACTATAAAAAGCTTCATAATAAAAAAGTAGGGTTCATGGTTGCTAAAATGTATTATCTAAAATTTTATGTTT